TTTTTTTTTTTTCTTCTTCCAGAGTATGCATGGGCCTTATCCCTTTGGAGAATCCTAAAAGCAGCTTTATTCTCGACCCATGCCTTGTGTCCTTTTCCCACACCAAGAAATAGGACATCTTCTGCAAGTTACCTACTGAAGATCACTTGGGGGATAATGGTGTTGGTGACCCTGATAATTATACTCCGGGTGCTGCCTTTCTTGCTCCTATTTAAAGAGATTTATTTTCCCTTTTTTTTTGTATGCACAACCTTTGCACGCCAGCTACAAATGGACAGCAAGAACATGGGTACAAATGTTAATATGTAGGTTTTCAGTGTTTTTTCACTTAAAAGCCATGGTTTCCATTTTGTTGGATAACGAGCTGCAAATAGTTTCATGTTCAAAAACCATAAATCCCACTCTTTTGCGATTTTCAAATGCGCCTATAATTACATTTCTATAAAAAGTTGATAAAAAAAAAAGTTTAGGATTATTCAATAATGTTTTTTTTCCTCTTTAACTCAAGTGTTCCGTTTTTGATTACTTGTAAATCGGCGGCAGCAGTTTTGCAGAAGTGAATGCTATCAGAATTGTTTTTCCTTTTTGTTAGGGGGAGGTTGCAAAGCTATATTCTGCTTCTACTTGGGTAAAACAGACAAATGAACCTACAAAGCCTAGTAGATTTCCAGTTTACAAATAATGCTCCATAATACTGAAGGCAGGATCCTGGCCCAAGCTTTTCATTTGATGGAGGAGTTGCCTGTGGAAAAATAGGCTCAGACATGTTCAATAAAGGCAAGCTTCATCTGCTAACTAGATAAAGTAGGCTATACCATTTTAGTGAAAGAGGGTTTTTCTTGCTTAAATACTCAAAGGAACCTATGGTAGGTTTCATCATTGCTCTATACTATTTGAGAGAGAAAAAAGATGAAAGGAAATAGAACACGATACAGAATCCCTGTAAGAATGGCTGCATGTAGCTACATACAGATAATAAACATATACTGCTGAAAGTATATATTTTCTACTTCTAAAAACATATTTAAAACTGCTCCTTAATTAGTGATTACGCATTAAACACATCAATTCCAACGTCCTCCCTTGTACGGTGTAATTGTTCTGTCATAGCTTTTGGGGATACAGTAATACTCTAGGAAAATAGCAATGTCATGGGTAGTTTGGCTGCTGATACGAAATTGATGTTTTTAAATGCTTGTAATTATGGGTTCTTGGAAGGGGGTTGAATAAGTTAATCTTTGGAATTAAGTTTGTATACTTTCTGCTGCGTGTGTTTTTATTAAAGTTAACAGTGTATGCAACAATGTTCTCTTCTGATGCCTGGCGGTGGCAAAAACTGCCTCTGACCATTAAGTGTAGCAAATCTACAATCATCCGGGCACAGAAAGATCAATGTCAAATAGCAAACACAGGTAAGAATCGGGCATTTAATGGTGCCATTATAGCTAAATGTTCAGTTAGCGAATGAAGATGAGCATCATGCTCTTGTTTTTGAGGACGTTTTGGGAGAAGCCGCTCCTTCATATAGGTAAAGTGTATGTTAACCCTCAAACGTTTCTTATTTAGTCTATTAAATATACAATTGAAAGTGTTTGTAATGTCTGTTTGATGAGTGCAAAAAATAACTGTTGATGTTTCCAGAAATCTTGTGAACTGATAACATCCCGTGCTCGATGTTGATGCACAAGGAGGGTTATGGAGATCAGCAGAGGGGAGGGAGATGAGGAGAGGTCTGTATTCTTTGTAATGGAGATCAGCAGAGGGGAGGGAGATGAGGAGAGGTCTGTATTCTTTGTAACGGAGATCAGCAGAGGGGAGGGAGATGAGGAGAGGTCTGTATTCTTTGTAACGGAGATCAGCAGAGGGGAGGGAGGGCAGGAGAGGTCTGTACTCTTTGTAACGGAGATCAGCAGAGGGGAGGGAGATGAGGAGAGGTCTGTATTCTTTGTAATGGAGATCAGCAGAGGGGAGGGAGATGAGGAGAGGTCTGTACTCTTTGTAATGGAGATCAGCAGAGGGGAGGGAGATGAGGAGAGGTCTGTATTCTTTGTAACGGAGATCAGCAGAGGGGAGGGAGATGAGGAGAGGTCTGTATTCTTTGTAACGGAGATCAGCAGAGGGGAGGGAGGTGAGGAGAGGTCTGTATTCTTTGTAATGCATCACGAAAGCAGTAGGCAGGGCTGACACTACATATTTAGGAATTCAAAGTTGGCTGTCGCGTTAAGATGGAAGGCAGGAGCGCACACTATTTCTGGCACACCAACAGTTATTTTTCTGTACTTGTAGTGTGTTTAAAGAGATAAACCATTGGGGGAATGTGCATGTATTCCAGAGATGTACAAATAAATGTGTTTCTTTTGCCTTGACATACGCTTTAACACGGAAGAGTCTGAAGCTGGTGGGCAGTCTTAAATTAAGCTGGGTCCGGTTTAATGCATCTTCTCTCTACACAAATAGTTTTACGCAGCATAGTTTTTGAATGATGACTTTGTAATTTAAGTGACATTTTAATTCAAGTATGAATTCTAAAATACTACACTACGTATTGTAGGTTGTGTAGGTTCGGGCTGTCAGTTTTAATTTTGTACTTTGCTCACTAGGGGGCAATTGTATAAAAGTTGGAGGAATGTGTTTTAGTATTGACCTTAGCAGCCAGCCTGATATCAATTTAATTTTATCATTAGCTGCAGAATGACAGTTGACAACTTGTCATTTAACAATCTTCCAGTTTTTATAGATCTACAGCAAGGTTTTTTTTCCAACATACAAACTTATAAATTGTTAATGGCTTAAACTATTTATTACATAACCAACTGATGTTTCCAAAGGTTTTTGGTCTCTGCCTAAAGTCCAATTTTATTTTCATCTTTCCATGATAAGAAACACTTGGCACATTGCCATTGATAAATGCCTCTAATGCCATTATTTCAGTTAAAACTAGCAAATTTTTGTAGCTGCTTTCAGAACAGAGACTGGGTTTCCTCAAACTTGTTCACAATTTCCCACTGCATGTTTGTGTCTTCTCTTGTAAACAAGTAGGCTAGTTATCAATGTATGGATCAAGAACACATGCTTTTTGTACTGTTGAGGAGCTTGGCAACCAACGTTTGGGAAATCATACTGAAGGTATTATTGTAGGAACATGCTTTCCAGCCCTGCCTCCTAAAAGGTAAGTATATAAATGTATATAAAAATAGATATAATTTTG